ATCTCATATATATATATATATATATATATATATATATATATAACCATGTGTTTGGGGTTGGGTGGCCCACCCAAGACAGCACTGCTTTCATAAGCAAAATAGAGCTTTTGTAATTTTTTTTTAAGTTATCCTTTCATTAAAATACTTTCTAAAGATTTCTCTTTTGAATATTTGTCCACCATGATTTATGATTATATTTAAAAGCCATGACTCTTCTCATAATTAATTTACTTTAAATCTATTTAAAGTTCAATTTTATTTATTTTACTAAAAAACAATTCAATTTAACAAAAAAATATATTATACCGATGCAATATAAATCACAACTAAAAATTTTCTAAGAAGGCCAGATAGCATGATAACAAGTGTGTATGGGCGTTCGCCACCCTTTTCGGCAAAATGAACCATTTCTCTTGTTTGTTTTTTCATGCGGGGCTGTTGGTGGTGCCGTTGTCTCGTAGAATTTTGTTCGGACTCTAGTTGAAGTTTGACGCATATCAAATATGTGAAATATTATTTATTATCTAAAAAGCCGAGAGATCTGTGTGTAATATTGTTGTACACTTATTTTCACATCGAATTGTTTGTTTGGATGCTTTTTCATTTAGTATTTGTACTGAAGAGAAACGTTGAGTACAACTATGTTGTACATCATTATGGGGTCGAATGCTCGACTCATATTGATTATGGTTACTACATGGTTGTACTATAGGTTTTCTGTAGTTCACATCGAATTGTTTATTTGGATGTTTTTTCACTTTGGTGCAATGTGGTTGTTCAAATGAAAAGTTTCAGTAAAACCATGTTGCATACCATGACCGGGTCGGGCTCCAGGTTCCTCCACTTTTTACAATAGAATAATATTTTATACATTAGGCACTCGCCAAATTTTAATTGGAGTCCAGATGTAACTCTTACGTCTGGACCCCATAAGTAGTATTTTGTCAAACAAAAATGGCCATGTTTTCATAAAAGTGTGGGCGGGTTCGGAAGGCAGTCTGAATGATAAAATTAATAATTAATGCCTTCTATTTTTGGCATTGAAAATTATCCTATTTATACATATATTTATAATATAATGATTGATGTTTTAGGTCATATTTGACTGCACATTCGATTCCGTTAAATATCATTTATCAAATTCGATAAATTTGAATTTATCAAATTGAGTTGGTGACGAGAAGAGATCGTGATAAATCCAGTTCACAATCGGATTTACAATGTGCTGATTTATGTCTCAAAAGAGACGGAATGCGAGAAGAATCTGATGAAGGTAAGAAATTGGATTTAGCTTTATATATATATATATATATATATATATATATATATCGCTCTGCTCGA